GGCAAGTGACATTCAAGTTTGTGAAGTCTACATATATCTACCACTTTCAGTTGACCTTCTGAACCATGATGACATTTGGGATCCAAGTGGGGTACTTTACCTATCGGATGTAGCCTGCTTCCTTCATCTTCAATATCTCTTCTCTGATGGGTTCGACTAATGCTATCGTAGACTTCACGATCTTTTACTTTATCAACCAGATGATGGAACTCACGTTCAATTGGTGGCAGGTGACATTGATTAATCTTCCTAACATCTCCGCTGCAGACCACGTGAAGACAACACAATAGTCTCGAAGCATTTTGACCAACAGGTCCATGTGCCCTGTATTAAAGTTTTGCTAATAAAATAAGATTTACTTGGCTCACTGTCAGCGATAGGAATTTTTAAGGTTGTGTCGCTGGTCTCATGATCTCCTTCCTTTTGGTTCTGCCGGTCAAGTGACTCCTTTTCCACTCATTCTACTGCCCAGAGATAACAGACTAGGGACTATTTTAGATCCCCTAAAATATTGATCACTTCTCCATATTTTGGGAACTTGACCACGACATGGTGCGTGGACACCACAACCATAAAAGGTTCAGTAGCAAATGGCCAAAGATGGTTTTGCAGATGAGAGTCAAGTTTACTATCAGGAAGTCCTCCGTTTCAGTGAACTACTTCCCCCCAAGTAACTATCTGCGGCATAACTCACAGGGCCTCCTTCCATTCTCTAAAAAATCCATAGATGGGGCTGACCGATGCTATCGGCCGGTCGGCCCAAGATTGAAATTATCAAACATTTACTTGAACAGGATGTTTGCTGAACTGTAAGTGTCAATGAGAATACTCTCAAACTAAAAGTTGTTTATTATCCCCATTACAACTATACCATCGTTGTAGAGGTTTCCCATGAAGGGCAAATCATCATTGGTGAAGGTGATGAAGGGTAGCTGCCCCTCCTCTGCATGAATGTGACATTACATAGCTCTTATGTCCTTGAATTCTTCTAGAAGACTCATCGGGAGGCCTATATTCCTTCAAAAATAGTTGTGACTAGCAATGTGGACAACAATTGTCTGAACGATCCTTCCAGGACTTCTATTGAAAGGTCCTTCCCATGCCTCTAACTCCAGGACCCTAGTTTAAAGAACTCCTTATGTTTTTTGGCCCTGATAAGCTCTTTGATAGGTTTTGGAGGTGCCTACATTCCTCCGTATCGTGGGCGTGATCCTAGTGGTACTTGCAGCACTTCCTTGTATCCCAAAATAAAGCCCCGACCCATATCTGTGGTACCTGTTTAAATTATTCTTTATATTCAATGAGATCCACAATCTTGACTACCGACACCCTAAATTGAGTGGTTCAGGGGCCTTCATATTCACTAAATGGCTTTTCATAGTGCTGGGCCTAGGGCTGTCAAAACGGCTTGTTCTTCACAAACAACTCGTGTTTGACTCGTTAAGAAGCTCGTGTTCAATTAGTTCGCTAAGTTAACGAACCAAACACAAACAAAAAATTGTTTGTTCGTGTTCGACTCGTGTTTGGCTCGAAATACTACTCATCAATATATATATATATATATATATATATATGATGCTCGCTAGAAAATTCGTGGCTATATGAAGGCCTTAACATATAAAATAAGATTTAAAATTTTCCCCAACCTTAACATCCGACGGATGCTTGATTAAGATTGGTAAAATCTGTTCATGAACAGCTCGTGTTCAGCTCGCTAAGCAAACGAGTTAAACACGAACACACTTTTCATGTTCGAAATATAAATGTGTCAAACACGAACAGTGATATTTTCTAACGATCCAAACATGAACTGATCCTGGGCTCGCTCGTGTTCTGCTTGTTTACACCCCTAGCTGGGCTGACCTCTCATAATATTGAGTCGGCTGCTAGTCTCGGCTCCTTGTCTGAGACATCTGATTGTTACACTGGCCAGACCCTTTATTTTTGTGAGTGGGTTGACTGTCTTCATTTCTTAGTCAGACAGATGGTTAAGGATTCCCTCTTAATTTCCACCCGCCACTTTGTGGGGCTCTCTTCTGGGAGCACTTATTGCGTACGGACACTACACTCAAATTTGCGTGCGCTGTCTAATCTAGGCCACTGAAATATATCTTTTTTTTTCTTTTTATTATTAGAGTGGGGCCCAATCTAAATATTTGACAGTCCAGATCGGACATCGCACACAAATTTTGTTGGACTGGGTGGTTTGTGGTCTCTAATTGGGGGATGCTTTCCTCTGTGACGATGTGCTTGTTGGTCAATTCCATCAACTCGGCCAAACCCTGGGGCTCAAGCAGACTGAGTTCGTAACAAGCCCTCTTGGAACTCAAACCTTATTTTAGGGTGGTTTGTGTCATGTCAGCTCAAAGGTCCTTCACATCCAACATCACTCTATGGAATTATAAGATGTAGGAACACAGACTCTCATTTGGTCCTTGTTTCAACTGCCATAAGGATCGTATGCTCTTCTTTAGGGTTGTAAACAAGCCGAGCTTGAGTGAGCTCAGGCTAGGCTTGTGTTCGGCTCATTTGAAACTGCTCATGTTCAAAATCGGCTCGTGTTCGAAATTGTCTTGTGAACGATGTGTTCCTGTTCAACTCGAAATTGACTCGTTAAAATTAAATTGAAAAAAATAAATGTAAAGTATTGGATTCGAACCTGGACCAAATGTATGCAAAAGAAGACACTAATCACATTACCACATAAGGTGTTACGATTTAAATTTAGATATAAATATATATAATATATTTTTACAAAAATAATATAAGTAATATATTATTATATAATAATTTTTTTTTTATTTCGAGCTAAAACGAGTCGAACACGAGCGAACAAAGAGTTGTTCGTGTTCGGCTCGTTTATAATTCGAACTTTAAAAACTTGTTCGTGTTTGGCTCATTTACTTGACGAACGAGCCGACCATGAGCTATTCGAGAACAATGAGCTTTTTGACAGCCCTACTCTTCTTGGGTATCTGGGAGCTTGAAAACTGTGCCAAAAAAAATTCTGCAAAAGTCCGAATAGCTGTTGATGCTTTCGACAAGCAGCGAGTTGAACCACGAAAAACCTCAAGGCTAACAACCTCATGATGGTAAAGAACAAACAACATTTAAATGTATCTGAGACTTTCAACAAGTACATTGCGGATTCGAATGAGGCGGTGTGGTCGTTAGGATACGACCGGCCCCTATACGTCTCCAACTGGGAGTTTGAACTTCTCTAGAGGCTCAAACAATGAGATATGAGGGAGAAAGGATTCTCGCGTTGATGTGGTGCCTTAGTGCATCCAAACTATTGTCCCTCTATCAACACAGATTTACCGTTGTCTTAGTACTGCAAATTTTTAGCTCTCTTAGGGTTGTGGTTCAACCTTCTGCCACTATGCATCGACACCGTATTTTGGGGAGGGTTTTGTCCTTGGGGAGCTCGATCTTCTCCTAGAGCCATGGCAGCCCTAAGAACTTATGCGATGTGGTCGGACACTTGATTCATTATAGGGTTCTCAACCCTTACATTTCTCATTACACGAACTCATCCATGCCTTCTTAGGTGTGTTCTGCATTGTTTATTTCTCTTTGGTGATTCTCTTCTCGTTGTGACTGTTTCGCTCCACTTCTTGTCGACAATATGACTCCACACTCACTGTACCTCTTAGGAAGTTGAATTCAAACATGTCTGGGAGACACACATAAGGAATAGAGAGTGAAGGGAAGAAAAGGAACAGAGAGAGCACATTAATGAATAATTAAATCACGTAACATTTATTCTTGAAATGAGCCATTATTTATATGAATGAGGTTACATTCTATGCCCTTTGTAAAGTAAACACAACATGAGGTATTTTGGTCAATACATAATTGTACAGTCGGAAGTATGAGATGGCGTCCGACCGGATCTTGATTCAATCGGTTATGCGCTGAGAGTCTGAGGAAATGTCAGATAGCTATGCTTGAAAAGTTGACCGAGATGTGCTGGCTGACTGCTTGAGATCAAGCCGATTCTTATCATCCGTCTGACATGGTTGAGAAATCTCGGCGGATTTATCTGCAAGATGTAATTGTTGGTATTTTCAACTATTTTTTATTTTTGTTTGAACTATGATGATGTCCAGATCTTCTACATAGGACTCAACTGATTTTTAAACCAGCATTACAAGCTAACACGAATTATGTTATATCAGAATGAGTTTTTTTCGGAAATTATATGATTATCACAATTGGCATGTAGGTTTAGTCTTCACATTCCCAGCTATCTGTCATTACATGCGGCTATCTGTGATATATTTTTCTTTTTTTCTTTAATCACCTAACACGAATTATGTTATATCAGAATGAGTTTTTTGGAAATTATATGATTATCATAATTGGCATGTAGGTTTAGTCTTCACATTCTCAGCTATCTGTCATTACATGCGGCTATCTGTTATATATTTTTCTTTTTTGCTTTAATCACTGCATGTCCTCTAGATTGATCCATTTTCCTTTCTCCTATGTTACTCGACATTGGTGGTCTCCTTTGCTGCCATTCAAAATACTTCTCTATTGTGTTTTTACATGGGTATTCTTCTTATTAGTCAAAATATGTTGTCGATTGTCTTGGATGGAGTCCCTATTTTTATGACTAAACTCAATGATATTTGAGCTCAAAATTTAGTATTTCCTCACTTCCTTTTTTTTTTATATTTTTCTCTTGCATTTTGTTGCTTTCATTCACAATTTTCTTGAGTTCAATTGAATCGTTATTTATATGACCCGAGATGCCCACTCATCTTTATTTATATGACCCGAGTTGCCCCACTCATCTTATCTTGTTACAATAAAATAATATTAAATACTTCATGAATTCTACTGTATGAGGTCTGTCTACAGAGCAGAGCACCGATGAAAGACCGTAACAATGTAAGTGTCAAAACTTATAAATAGAAGAAGTCATAAATCTACTTCTTATTGGTGATACCAGCCCATCAGCTAAGTTTCGATGGTCGGTGCCCGTGAAGAGAGCTCATGGGTTTATCTTGGCTAATCAACTTGACACTGAGTATTCAGCAGCCAATACACAGTTGATTAAAACAACTTCGACAGTCTGGGAAATCAACCAAATAGTTAATGCATGACTGCTGACACTTTGTTGAATATGCCGGGAGCCAATACATGAAAGCTAACACTTCGACAGGAACTTCAGCAAATGAATATGATAGGCCAACCCGATCCACCCAGTAGTTGGTACACTGTATTTATTATAAGTTCAATATTATGTAAATAGTTTTTTTTCTCCATCTTAATAGCGGTCCAGGCCCTCAAATTTCCTAAAAACAAAACCCTTTTATATTTTATGTTAATCCAGATTGCACCCACTCATATACGGTCCCAACTCCTTGCTCTTATCTTTAACGCCTCCTGTGGACATTCAATACTTGTGAGCCAACATCAACTCCCCTTTTTCTTCCTACCTGCCGAAAAGCCACCGAGAATCGAGACCACCAGCAAAAAAAAGCGTCGGCTTCTCCCTCTTTTGCGAAATTCAATCCACCATTTATCGGCTCCTTTTTACATACCCTAAACCCTCTCTCCCACGTGCCTGCCAGGTGACACCATTATCTCGTTACACTCTCCCATCATTCATCCACAACCCCACCTTCGCCATATTCGTACCAAAAATTGTAACTAGACCTCCACCGGCCGCAGCTACAGCAGAACCACTTCCCCTGCTCCAACCCCGCCTTCCTTCAAAGAAAGAGAGAGAGAAAACAAAATGGAAGTGGAAGCAACAAGGCATCGCAGCTCCACCAGCCCTTCTTCCTCCCCTGAGTTCGAGTTCTGGATGGTCCGCAATCCCTCCTTCCCGCCGCCAGACCTCCTCACCGCCGACGAACTCTTCCTCAACGGCGTTCTCCTCCCCCTCCAACATCTTTCCCTCACTTCTTCCGACACCCCTGCCCAACCTCCCTCCCCTCCAACGGCCCCCTCCCCCTCGCCATCTTCCATCCTATTCTCCTCCTCTTCAACCTCCTCCTCCCTTTCCCGGCGATGGAAAGACTTATTCAAAGTGATGCCGGAAAAGAAACCAGGGGTAAAAGACCAGGAAAAGAACGCGAGGAAGAAGGAACGCAAGAGCAGCGCTGACCTCACCATCAACCTCAACATCTGGCCCTTCACCCGGAGCCAATCCGCCGGCAGCCGCCCTAGATCGACCGGTTCCGTCATCGGACGAAAGGTTAGTAGCGCACCCTGCTCTCGAAGCAACTCTCGCGGTGCGTCCGGGGGCCGGGGGCGGCGG